GTACGCTCAACACCATCCCCACCAACCACTCGCTACTCAAGAAGAGCAAGCTTCCCTTCGCCCTCATTATAAGCCCGTATGCGAGCTTGCACGACTCGGAGGACCCTGTGCCAGTAGTGCACGATCAGGTCATTAGCCGTTGTCGACGATGCCGCGCCTACATCAATCCCTTCGTTTCATTTCTGGACCATGGACACAGGTGGAGGTGCAACATGTGCAACCTGACCAACGACGTTCCCCAGGCATTCGATTGGGATGCAGCACAGCAGAAGAGCGTGGACCGCTGGCAGAGACCCGAGCTCAACTATGCCGTGACCGAGTTTGTTGCGCCTCAGGAATACATGGTTAGTACTGGCTGTACGAAGTGCATGTGAGACAAATGCTGACTTCGTACCTCTATCTCTGCAGGTCCGCCCTCCACAGCCTCTATGCTATTACATCCTGCTGGATTGCACACAAGGCGCTGTCAACAGCGGATTGCTCGCCGTCGTCTCGAGGGTCATCAAGGAGTCGCTCGGTCGGATACCAAACGCAGACGGCCGGACACGCATTGGATTTATGGTCAGTAATGCGCGTTCGAAGGCATATGGTGCGCAAGCTAACTCTGTATCAGGCGGTCGACAATGGTTTGCACTTCTTCGGCATTCCTCCGGACAACAGCGAATCCAACGAACCGCAGCAGCTCGTAGTTTCCGACCTCGATGAGCCCTACCTTCCCATGCCTTCGGACCTCCTGGTCAGCCTCAGCCAATGCCGCAACAACATCGAGACGTTCCTTGACCGCCTCCCGACCATGTTCCAAAACACACACGTCCCTGGCTTTGCGCTGGGCTCAGCTCTCCGATCCGCACATAAGCTCATCTCTCCACTCGGAGGAAAGTTGACTGTCATTGCCGCATCGCTACCCAATGTTGGCCATGCAGCATTGAGCCCTCGAGAAGACAAGTCGCTACTGGGCACCGGAAAGGAAGGCAGTTTATTGCAGCCTGCCAATAATTGGTACAAGTCGTTCGCGGTAGAATGCTCTAAGAACCAGGTGTCGGTGGATATGTTCCTTTTCTCCTCGCAGTACCAAGATGTTGCGACTCTGAGCAACCTTCCGCGATTCACTGCCGGTCAGACATACTTTTACCCTGGATGGAACGCGGCAAGACAAGAGGATGTCGTCAAGATTGCAACCGAGCTGGCTGACTATCTGTCTGCTGAGATCGGTCTAGAGGCCGTTCTCCGAGTGCGTGCTACCACTGGATTGAGGATGTCTGCATTCTACGGAAACTTCTTCAACCGCTCGTCCGACCTCTGCGCCTTCCCAGCATACCCCAGAGATCAAGCTGTAGTGATCGAGGTCGCTATCGACGAAACAATTTCCAAACCATTCGCCTGTCTCCAGGCCGCTGTGCTTCATACTACCTCAAGTGGTCAGCGCCGTATCAGGGTTCTGACTCTTGCTGTACCTACGACTGAGAGCCTGGCGTCAGTTTATGCATCAGCAGACGCGCAAGCTATCACTACCTACTTCAGTCACAAGGCAGTTGAGCGAGCATTGTCGAGCGGTCTTGACGCAGCACGAGACGCGTTACAGGCCAAGATCATCGAGATACTCTCAACGTATCGCAAGGAGTTGGCAGGCGGCAGCATGGGCGGTGGCGGACTACAACTACCGCAAAACCTTCGCGCTCTCCCCATACTGTTCTTGGGACTCATCAAGAACGTTGGTCTTCGCAAGAGCGCTCAAATCCCGAGTGATCTCCGTTCCGCAGCTCTTGACCTCCTCTCTACGCTGCCCTTGCGCCTACTTACGCAGTACATCTACCCGTCTTTCTACTCACTCCACGATATGCCTGATGATGCTGGTGTACCGGAACCTACCACTGGACAGATCACAATGCCACCTGCATTGAACCTTTCCAGTGCAGCCATCGTGCCTTACGGTCTTTACCTCCTGGACGACGGTGTGAACCAGTTCTTGTAAGTACAAGCGCAGAGTCTGTATCGATATAGGGCTAACGTGACTAGGTGGATTGGTCGAGATGCTGTCCCCGCGCTCCTGAATGATGTATTTGGCGTCGAAGACCGCACACAGTTGAAACAGGGCAAAGCCTCATTACCTCTTCTAGACAATGAATACTCCGAGCGAGTGCGAGCAGGTGAGTTGACGTTACTTATGATTTATACAGTTAGATTGCTGATATAAGATAGTCGTCGAGAAATCGAGAGATCACAAGTCGAAGGGTGTAGGCTCAATCACCCTACCTACGCTGTACATTATCAAGGAAGATGGCGACCCAGCCCTCAAGCTATGGACACAGACGCTCCTCGTCGAAGACCGTGCAGACCAAGGCGAAAGCATCGTCCAATGGATCAGCAAACTCCGGGAAAAGGTATATCAATGAGCCAGCTGCCTACCCGAAGAGAGGACTGACGTTATACCTAGGTTGTGGTGTAAGCACCGGATAGATGTGGGACTTGTTCATTAGGCGGTGTGGATTGGGCGGGTCAATACCGCAGCATTGGCGCAAGATCCGAAGAAGAAATCAGCATTGCTTGGGCGGTGGAGTGATGACTGGGAGTCGCACCAAGCGAATCGTGACTTATACAGCAGCAATGTGATACCAGCTTCCATCTGTTTGTTCTTGGCCACCTCGGCTGTGTCAATGTACCACAGTTGTGCGGCGAGGCAGCTGCCCGTCATTGCCACACGGCGTCAATGCATGGCGATGAAACGTAGTGCTAAGCTGTTGTGCGAGTACTGAGGAGGGGCCTGCGGTTAACGTGTATGCAAGACAGGCTTTCCCCGTGTGCATCTTGAGTTGCTCGATAATCGATAAGAGTCATACCTCGGTCTTCGCGCTTCGCGCACGGGCTATCACACGGCTGGAGGCAGGCACAGGCACGTTCCGAGCGTTGACTCCACTATCGCTAACCTCGCCATGAGCGCGAGTAATGCACGGCTCCCTCAACACCAACGCCACCGCTGGCGACAAATGCTTCCAGACATCTGGCTCGCCCGCTAACACAAGCCCGCATAGTTCGGTAAAGCTACTATTTTGAACATGTAGGCCTGCATACACTATGTGTTTCACCAATCCTCCAGCTGCCGCTGCAGGAAGGACGAGTGTTTTCTTTGTAGGCACGGCGCACGATCCTCGTGTGGGGATGCGCCTACGCAACGTGTCAACAGCAATATTGCGTCTCGTTTAGGCACCGGAAGCGGAATCTTGAAGCATACAAGGGACAAAGTACGGTACAGACGACGCAACGAGGCGCACCGCGCAGATGACCACGATATTCGCGATCCATGGTATCATCCCGCGTCTGTCCGCCAGATTCCCTCGAATCATACACTGCTTGCCAGGAACTAGTCGGGCCACTGGGTCCTCCGCCTTTCTGTCAGCGCTTCCGAGCTATAGAGTGTGATGGCGACAAACTGTCACGCACCGCTCAAAGCCCAACGCCAGGCAACGCCAGGGGACAGACTACCGTCTCTGACCGCCTCGTTCAACAGCCGCCTGGCGCCTTTCGCGCTGCAAAGACGCAAAATTTGAGTCGCTGAAGTCCGGCAGAACCACGGATGCTAGCCTTTCGCTTCGGCAAGGTACAAAGGTACAACACTTTTTGTGGATCTGGTCGAGTCCCCTTGCATCGGCGCTCGCCCACGCTGCTAGCTTGCAGCGACTATCCGCGTCAACCAATTACTTGGGCATGGCACTGTCAGCTTCGCCAGGCGGCCGACGCCATGCTCGTCTGCTTATGGCTGTCTTCTCCCAGGCGCGCAACTTGCCTTGGGGGACTGGCCAAACGCGCCGGCGCGTCCATGGCATAGCCAGCCATTATGGTCCCGATCTATCTGATAACACGTGAAACGGCAGCGGGCGTTGGTAGGTGTTTCGTCATCAATATCCAGCGTGCTCAGGTCCCGGCCATAACGCACGACCTAGAGCAAATAGTCAGGTTCTTGACCCATCGCTGCAAGCATGTGCCATGACCGTTGTTAGCAACCGGAAACAGGCAGTGCTGCCCAGTGCCCCGCCGCACAATATGATGCCATGTCCTGCAGCCAGGCCGATTGCTTGACGGCAGATGCGCGCTGCTCGTCAGGTTGCAGACGTACTGTGGTCTGACAGGCGGACGAGCATGCTCTGGGGCTCAGCTGCACCTCTTCATCATGTCTGGGTCGGCGGGCCAAGCATCGCTAATTCCAAGGATCTGCAGGCAAGATGTGCCTTCGTCGCAAGGTGGATCGGACTCTAACCCCAGCCTTCTGCCAGGCCGTCCGTCCAGGGCGCACGACAAAGCCGCTAAGATCCCGTCCTGTGCCTTACCAACCCCTCCTCGTGCATTTGCGACGCAATCGTGAGTTCGTTCTAATCCCGCTCTCCTGCATCGACACCTGCTCCTCTGCCTTCATACCCGGGTCTTGCACAGTCTAGCTGCATCGCCACAAGAGCCGCATCCTGCCGTTCCTACTCGAGCCCTTGTGCGCATCGAGTCTTGCGTCAAAGAGGGGCCAATCTCCCCGCCACCTGAGGCATCCCATCCCGCGCCTTATCATACCCAGCCCAAAGTCCGAGTATCCGTGGTTGCTCAACCCTCACCACCGGTGCACCTTTGGGCGACACCAACTTGACGATTTTACGACGCAACGATCGATTTTAACACGACCTCGTAGATTTTCTTTGACCTTGCTCGCTGGGCGCTGACTCCGGATGTTGTTGCAACGCCGCCCTCTATTCGTCATCATATCGTTTCAGCCTTCCCACATCCGCTCCAGGAAGGGACCACCCGCAGTATCATACTGATTGCGCCGCTCGAGGCAACCCGCCTGGGACCTGCGCCTGCATTAACTCTCCAGTCTTACATCACCGGCGCTACCAAAGCGAGCTCTGTCGTGCAGGTTGTAAGCTATACGCGCTCGTCTCTGTAGACCTGCGCGGCTCACTCAGCACGACACGGAACAAGAGGTGGCTATCGGTAGACTGCTGGTCACCGCTTCTTCCAACATGTCTACTTTCCAAGCAGTCAACACCACATTGTCGGTCCCAGATGCGCCACAGGGCCGCCCGGGTGACGAGACGACGCCAACTACTCCTCGACCGAACAGCAGGTTCTTTGCCGAATCGAAAGCGACCGAAGAGATCCGTGCCGAAGACCCATCGGCTAAGACACCTACACGCAACACCTTTGCGGGACTTGTTGGTCAGCGACCACTGCCCTCGTCGCCGTTTACACCCGGCCGCGAGCTGAGCGAGACACCTTCAGCTTCGAACAAGAGCGAACAAAGTAGAGAGGACTCGCACAGGCCAACAACCTCGGGACAAGACGTGCATATGGGTGATGGGGATGATGACGAGAAAGACGGGTCGGACAACGATAGCGTAACCAGCGATTCCAACCGGCCGTCTAAAAAGAAGAAAGGACAACGCTTCTTTTGTACCGACTTTCCGCCGTGCAATCTAAGCTTCACGAGAAGTGAGCATCTGGCACGACACATTCGGTACGTAGCTCACTATGCGGCACGCTACATTGCTAACACACTGCAGTAAGCATACTGGTGAAAGACCCTTCCAATGTCACTGTTCCCGGCGATTCTCGCGACTCGACAACCTCCGACAACATGCCCAAACAGTTCACGTCAATGAAGACATACCTTCGGAATCGCTAGCTGCAACGGGTACGAGGTTCCAAAGGCAGATCCGGACCGACAGAGTAAGACCACCTGGAAACCGATCTCGAGCGAACACACTAGGCAGCACAGGTGGCCATAGCAGAGGCCACAGCAGAAACCTCTCAGCTTCAAGCATAATCTCTACCGCTTCGACCATGAGCGCGGCACCTTCTCCCGACATTCGACGTAGGCCACCACCTTTGGCCATGGCTAGTGATGGTGGTGCTAGCGCGAGGGCTCGCCTGTCACTAAATACCATGAACGCGTATGACCCACCGATGATGGGCTCTCCTGGGCCTGTCGAGTATGACACGCAGTCCAACGCGCCTACAACGCCCACATCCGCTACCTTCTCGACAGTTACTGGCAGCCCCGCTCGCTACGGGTCCACTATACAGTCTCCGGTTTCGTCTTCGTCCAGGCCAGTCTCATGGGCCGGACCACCCCTTCCAGGACGTCGAGAGTCCATCTCGTCCAGTGGTAATCCTTTCTCTGGTCCACCAGGACAGGGTCCTTCTACGTACATCACGCCTCTGCAGTCGACTGCCGCACCCAGCTATTCAGCCCAAAGCAGCGCATATGCGAGTCCAACAGCATCTCAATTCTCAGAGTCGAGGAGAGATTCAAACGTAGATGCGGACTGGAGGCGACGTACGTGGCATCCAGGAACTTGGGGGCATACAGGGCCTCGCCCAGCGACCAGTGGGCTTGGTTATCACCAGACGCCAGACGCGGATCGGCCCACGTTTACTTCAATTCCGGCCGCTTCTCAAACTACCCGTCTTCCAGGAATTGAAAGCTTCGACCATGCACCCCCTCCGCTTCCTCGACGCCAGCCAAGTCCAATGCAAGTAGACGCCCCAGCTCGTCCACTGACATATCACGCGCCGATGGAGCACCCGCCTCCGCCTCACAGGGGTCACCACAAAAGAACTAGTATTTCTTGGGAAATTGACCGTCTGAACATTGCTGGCCCAAGTTCTCAGAGAGAACCACAATGGTCGCAACCATACCCTGGCAGTGCCGGACGAGCGAATGCTACACGCCCTACGACCGCCCATGGGTACTTTAGTCGGCAACCTTCTAACGTTCAGCCAATCCAGATCCCTTCCATCAACGCTTCGCCCAGGACTTCGCAAGAACAGCCTACGACGCCCCGAAAGAACAAGCGACAGGCGTGGTATAACGGACCTGTCAGTCAACCACAAAGAGCTATGCAGAGAACGTCCCCTGAAGATAGTAGCAGTAGTGAAGGCGTTCCCACTCCAGGGACGATTTGGGAACATCATCCGAACATCGTGGGCAGCAATGGATACGTCGAAACGCCAGTCGTCGAAGATTACAAGTCGCAAGCATCAATTATGGAAAGGCCGCATCCATTACAATCGCAACCACACCATTATCATAGCCACAGCCTCTCCAACTCGAGCTCAAGCTATCGACCGCAACGAGAACCCGAGCGGGGACCCGCAACGTTCGGTCAGCCGCTACCGCAGCAGACAGCCAACAATGATATGCGTCGCTTAGAAGCCCTTGTCGCCGTCGCCACTGGCGAGCAAGCCGTGGAGAACCGCTCTTAGGTTAGGTCAGCTGATTGCTTCCTCACCGCCTTTACATCACACATCGCCATCATCAATTTACGTCGAGTTTTGCAAAGTACACCCACGATGTCACGACCTCGAAGAACAATAACGAATCTCCTATGATTTACGCAATGATACACATGTCTGGTGTTTGACTCCCAGTTCCGCATGACAATCTCTCGGTCTTTTGCTTTGTTTCCCTTGCCTTCACTTCAGATATCGCCGACCAGGTGAGGGCTCTTGTTGTCGCTTTCCATATGATACCAATCGGAGCTTCTGCTCGAACTTCCTTGGGATACCCCGATCCGGCATATGTCATATTCCCTTTGTTTTGCTTGCCTTTGTGCATATGACGTTTTTGCTTTCGTTTTAGGGATATACCAAATCGAACAGCGGGAGTCTGGAGTTTTTTGTCAGGATCAGTTTCTATTTTTACATGACGACTCTCTATTAGGATGTGCTTTCGTGCTGTTTTTGGTGGGGCGGGTCACTGATGATGAACATTGGTAATGGATAGAAGTTGGAAGGGTCAATAGTTGTCCTTGGACATTCTTAACATGCTTGTATATGCTTTCTCAGATGATTGTGGCCTCGTGTGCTTTCTTGTGACTTGCTCCGACAGATGCCTTGAGACAGGTGATGATTTATCATACAAGTCGCAAAGAGCACTTTGTTGCTGGTATCAACAACTAGGTCGGGAAGTACTACGTGGTTCGAGCGACGCTTGTACGCCTCCTTACCAAGGACAAAATGTTTAAAGAGAAGTTTGGCAACCCGAGGCGCTTGAGCGCGTTGCTGATCTTGAAGCTGGAGGTGATGCTGAGGAGACAGTTGAGCGCGCTGCTGACCTTGAAGCTGATGTAGAAGTGGAAGGCGATGCCTTTGAGCGCACTGATGAGACCGCCGAGCGTGTGGCAGATACTGATGATGGTCAATGGTGGGGAGGCGGTTAAGCGCTCTGGTGACATTAAAGTTGGTGTTGCAGCTAATATAGATGCTGCGAGGGAAGTGGTTGAAATTGGCGGGACTGAAGCTGCGGCAGAGCTTGCAACTGGCGCCGCATGTGATCTTGAGGAACTTGCAGTACAGAGTTGGCGGATGCCTGGTTGATTGATCGGTCGTTTCGTGGTGGCATTGTTGAGAGTCTTGAGACTTGACAGCGAGAAGGAAAGGCTGAGAGAGAGACTGAAACGAGGCTAAGGGAGAGATATAGAACGAAGACTGAGAGAGAGATTGTGTGCGCGTAAGAACAAAGGTCAGGCGAGAGGTTGTAGAAGCTTGTGTGGTGAGGTTTATTAGTGGGGCTTGTACTCGCATGCCAGAACGAGGCAGGAGCGACCCTGCAACTCTCGAATATTCAAGAGCATGGAGTCTAGTTAGCTATTTCTGCAATCGATGGCGATAATAAGCGCAGCAACATTGTTAGGAGAAGAAGCCAACGTGGTTGCTTGTCTTGAGGGAGTAGTCTTGTAGAGAAACTCGCGGTCTCAAGGAAGGACTGGCGTTAGATGGGAGGTTCTAGGAGGCAATGATAAGATACACCTGTGAGTGCTTAGTAACTCAGTTGTGGTTAAACCATCTCATACAGTACGTTGTGTCCAACGTGGTGGCGGCGCATTGTTGTCGGGGCAACGGTACGATCGGGACAGGAGAGGACAAAGCGCGTTCTAGCGTATCATGCCACATGCAAACCCCGCGTACCCTGAGTTGGTATACACATCCGCTTGCAGCAACACCGACAGCAGGTACTGTGCCTGTCTTTCCGATACCCTCCTTTTTCTTCTTCTTTCTTTGTGATACCCCCCAATCGGCGCCATGGGTTCCGACGACGTCACCGACTTCGAGGTGATTGAAGGCCAGAAGGAAAACATCCAAAGCATCCCCAGCGGCCGCTCCGCCAAAGCACTCGCACAGCTATACACACCACCACTTACTTCCGGCGCTGGTCAGACCCTGTCCCCTTCGCAGATGCAGGACGCGAACAGCGCGGCCCGCCTCAAGTTCGAGAAGGAGCTCATGGCGATTGACGACTCGGACGACCCGTTAGATGTTTACGACCGTTATGTCAAATGGACACTCGACTCCTACCCCTCCGCACAGAACACACCTCAATCGAAACTCTGCCCTCTGCTCGAGCGCGCAACCAAAGCCTTCCAATCCTCGCCGCAGTACAAGAACGACGCCCGCTACCTCAAGCTGTGGCTGCACTACATCCATCTCTTCTCAGATGCGCCGCGCGAGACATTCGCATACCTTGCGCGACACAGCATCGGCGAGAACCTTGCGCTATTCTACGAAGAATTTGCCGCCTGGTTAGAAGGCGCGGGTCGCTTCACACAAGCAGAGGAGATATACAATCTGGGTATTGACCGTGAGGCCCGTCCAGTGGAGCGCCTGATTCGCAAGTACGGAGAATTCCAGCATCGTCTCGAGAGCCGCCCGCAAGAGGTTCCCGAGCCTTCAAGCCCCGCACTCCCCGCCGTCCGTCCAGCTCTCGCCGCTAAGATGGACCCCTTTGCGCATGCATCGCCGAGTGCGCCGAGCCCACAACCACAAAGTGCGCCAAAACCTGCTGGAGGCGCTTCTCGCTCGGGGAAGGCTAAGCTTGCCATCTTTTCCGATGGCGACGATGCCGCGAGGCCCGGCTCGACTGGTAGCATGGAAGGATGGGATAGCATTGGATCGCTCGCAGACCGCAAGAAGGAGAACGCAACGGAAGCGCGGCCTTGGGCTGGTGAGACTCTGAAGGTCGGGAAGAAGAACACGGGCGTGCCAAAGATGTCAATCTTCAAGGATGAGGTGAGTTGATCTGCCTACATCAGCCCCTTCATATATTTACGATCACAGGACTAATTGGTGGGCGTTTGCCATACATGTATTCAGACCAAATCAAATCCCAATGACGAGAATGTCAGCCCCCATCCATTGCGTGAACATCAACAAGCAGTAAATCCAAGAACAGGCAGGCTTGAGGTGGTCTTTGTAGATTTGGAGCAGGTTTACCCTAACCATGAAGATCCGATGTCAGAGGAATACTCGTTTGAGGAACTTCGAGCTAAATACAGGGGATGGATGGACCACGATTGGGATGCTATCCGCCGCAAGGAACAGAAGCAGGCAAGGAAAGCAGCCGAGGAGGCAGAAGCTGCCGCAAGGCCAAAGCCAAAGGCCGCGCCTCTAGCGCCCAAACAGGATTACGAACAGCCTCCTAAGCCCAAGACCGTGCCTCTAAAAGGCAGCGTTGATGATGACATGAACAACGACGAAAATGCGCCGCCTTCACAAGCAGCTGTAG